GAGGTTTAGATGTGTCATTAAATTGTTAGTTTCAGATCTCTCCAATTTGTTGATGTAGGAGCTCAGAGCTATAAACTTGCCTCTGAGTACTGCCTTTGTTGTGTCCCAGAGGAGCTGGTAATTTGTGTGTTCATTTTTGTTGAATAGCTCAGGAAGTTTATTATGTCATCTTTTTTTTTTTAACTTAACTTTCTTATAGGTGTCTTTGACTGACTCAAAGGTCAATTCATTTCTTTTGACCTCATATTCAATTCCCACAAATACCGATTTTATGGATCTTTCTTGAGAACTTAATATAGCACTACATTTACAAACAAAAAGCACTGCATTTGAAGAGTTTTTTTCCTAGCACCTTTGATACACTAAACCATTTTTCAATATATAATCTAGCTTTTTATTTATCTCTTGGGGCTGTAGGATCCAGTTAACTCTTCCTTTTACAGTTTCCAAGTTGAGGCTTTAGGGTTAACAGATTTGTTAATGTAGGAAAATGACATATCTTTTGTAATATATATATATATTATAATTTTGTGATGATATATCACTACCTCTTATAGGTTTGTTATCCACTATTATATCTCTATCCCAAAGCATAGCTGCAAAACATGACCTAACTGTGCTATCACTGATTTTTTTCACACCCTTTAATATGCTTGCTCAATGTAAATACAATTGGATATGATCCTGTATTCCATGGTAGCAGCGAGTCATGTATACATTGATACATGTATACATTGATGACAATTTTAAATCTATGAGTTTGCATTTGGAGTCTAAATCACATGAGAGCACTAACTTTGTAGACATCTCTGAGTTCAAACCCCTACTATCTGTTAGCACTGTTTTTTGCTCAGCCAGAAATTGTCCTCAATATCATAAGAAGTAAAGCTGGAAATATTACATTAGCCATACTGTTAGGCTTGTAGTGAGAGAATGCATGTGATATTCTGGGCTCTTCTTAGTTCCTTTTGTTTGTTAAGTGAAACTATTGCCACTATTAAAGTGTACTGGTTTAAAAATTAAGGAACTATCAAGTGCTAATCAGGGTATTTAATTTCTATTACAATTTTTCCTCTAATGATAACATAATGCAAGGAAGAATCCAATTTCTTCTCTATCTTTTGCTTCATGGCTTGCTTTCTACATAAATAAAAGCCAGACATGTGATCCCCACTGAACTCTTGTAGATATTCCATCTAGAAAGAATGACACGTTGGATTCCTCTACTGAGTGATCAGGGCCTGTCATCTGTCTTTGTGCTGCATGGTAGTGTTGTCATTGTTATGAAATACTCAGGCTCATGGGGCTATATTCATTATACATGCATATTTTCCTTGGACGGTTCAATGTAATATGTTGTTTTTATTTTCTGAATATAAGAAGTCTGCCAATGTCATTCCATCTGTGGTCACTATTGTAAAAACACAAGTTTCAGCCAAAATAACTATGTGGCTTTATTGTGTACAGGGATTTTACAAAAGTGAAAATACTACAATGGGATTTTCTTTCCCTGCATGTATCAACAGCTTAGAAAACAAGCTACCTGTCTTAGGAGCCTTTTCTTTCTTTCTTTTTATAAATCATAAGAACATTTTCTAGTCACAGGGATTCAGTAATTTGGTAAGGTTGCAGATGTTTAATTATATAAATCATAAACAGTTCCCTGAAATTATAAATAATAAATAGTAAATAAATTTATTTTTTAAAGTTGGGTTTTATCAGGCTCAATAAATTAATTGTGCAACTTAAAAATATGTAACTGTAAACACCCTCTGTGTATCAACCTTTACCATAAAATAAAATTAAAGCAAAATATACATAATCGTGGTTATTCAATACTGATGGTAGTCCATGCAACATGTATTTTATGAGTATTGTAATATCTCCAAACTGAATAATTAATTCAACTTGAACATTACAACTTTGGGAAAAAAAGAGAACTAATAAGTATAGAGTCTTGCCAGGTTCAATATTGGCTACAGAATGAATACATCAGGAAGTATATTATGTATGCTCAATTCATTTTTATTGAATTTGTGACTTAGAATTTAATTCTTATCTCCCATGTTATTGCTGACTGGGATAAATTTTTAACTATCCCTATATTTCTTGTCATAGGATCTCATATTCAAACTAGACACACATAACTTGGAGTCTGGAAGACTGAAATGTCCTTTTGATCCACAGCAGCCTTTTGCTTCAGTAATGGCAGGTAAAGTCTTGCTGATAAATGAAACTCTGTTTCCTTATCCAAATGAAGACAATTTTGGTGCCACATCTTTCTCTACAGATCATCGTTATCAATAGAGGAAGAATGAACATGTCAATCTCAACATAGTTACTTTGTAAATTAATTTCTCATTCAATTAATTTTAGTCTAAATAGTATTCTTAGTTTTTCCTTATATAGTTGTAAATTGAGATCGTTTTCTGGTAGTTTCTTACACTGAGCTACATCTCCATTTGGCTCGGTATGGACATTAAAATATAGTGGGTACTGAGCCAATTAATAACAGAAAATAACTAAGCTACCAAATACAGATAAATGATGTTAGAACACATCTTTCACAATTTTACTATTGAGGGAATTGGTGTATATTTTTTCTAGCACGTTTAGTCCTCTTTCACTTTGTCTTCATTTTACATTCTCATGTGTGATGAGTGACTTGTTCAAAGAATGTAATACTGTGTGGTCTGAAGCCCATTCTCAAGAATGTCAGCAGGATCTCCAAATTTCAACCATTATGAGAATTCCTTTTGTCTTCCTTTGGTTCTTGACTTTAATCTCCTTTTATGTAACTTGTCTGTCAAATGTTTGAACAGAAGATAAGAGAGAGGTACCGTGACATTTTAATTTTCACTTACTGGGAACCAGTGATCTCAGAAGTGAGAATATGTGTGTTTCTGTGTGTTCTGAAAATTATATGGCTTGTGTTCACTCCTCTCAGTAAAGGAAATTGATGATGTGGGATTTTTAGCTGTCAAGTGGAGTTGAAAAACTTTTTATAATAATAATAATAGATTGTAGGCATAGCTGACCCCTCTTAGGAATTCCTATATAATTTTAGATACAAAGAAGATGATTTTTAAAGTTTGATATTCATATTCCTTTTCTGACAAAACATTCAAATACCTGCAACTTTTTATATTTCAAGGTAATGTCTTACTCATTTTACTGTTACCAAACTTGTTCATCATGTAATTCTATTTCTTAAAACTTTGCTCTGAAATAAAATATTGTATTGCCATTTACCTCATATACCCCAGCAAAGCACCTTACCTGTTTAAGGGCTGGAGAAAGTACCAGTTTTACCTCCAATGTACATGGTGTGATTTCTCACTTTGTGTGCTTTGATTCCTCTAAAATTTTCCATTGACATTATTTAGGTTGAATTGACTCAAATAATGCATTGAAGGGCTAATGCAGACAGATATAACTAAGAGATTAAGAAAGTATTTTAATTATTTCTTATACAGGACAGAATTTTAAAGACTGTGTTTCTGAGGAAAATTGAATTTCAATGGTAAACATTGTGCTTATTTACATATACAGGGATTAAATTTTTTAAGCACACTGTGGGACATTATTTATGTTTACTTTATCCTATTTACTGTAACCCAAAATTGACACCTATAACATTCTCCTGAAAGAGCAGTAACTTTGCTCTCAAAGGAGCTACATACTCTGCTGTAGGGACATCCGTCTTCCTCCCCCACGCCCACCCAATGCTCTGATTAACATTAGGGAGCATTGACACTTCCCAGCCTTCCCCCCACTGCCAACTCCCACTCCTCACCTTTTCTGGTCTCTCCCATTCAGGGTCTTCTTCCTCTCTTCCCCACCCCTCTTCTTTTTCTCTTCTTCCTCCTCCTCCTCCTCCTGCTCTTCCTCCTCTTCCTCCTTCTTTCCCTTTTGTCCTATCTCTTCCTTTCACCTTCCTCTAACCACAGCTTCTCTTCCTTTCTCTTCCTTCCATTCTTTCTTTCCTTCTCCTTTTACTTCTCCTATCCTAGCTCCCCTCTCTCTATTCTTTCTCCTTTCTCTTTCTCTGCTCTCTCTTTTCTCTTCCCTATAAAACATGGACATGCATTTTATATAAATAATTTTGAAGTTTAGTATTTAGTAATGGTGCATTAATTCCCCTGTCTACTTATCAGCACTGTTAGATACAGAATCAGCTACAAGGAATGCATCATGCTATAATTATACAGAATGACTTCAGTGCTGAAAGCTACGTTTCCACAGAGGTGGGGCAAAGAAAACTTGTGGTCACTGAGGTTGTGCTGGTTAAGTAAATATTAATTATACAGTCCATTCTTCATTATGCCATCTTAATTTTAATACATTTTTTGTGTGTTGCTACAAAGAGAAGTGAATCATTTTGAGGAGAAAGGAATGAGTGAAGATTATTCTAAGAGAAGCCAGTGCATGTTCAATTGATGTTTCAGAAGAATTTGGCCTTTTTAATATAGTCAATTATCTAACATCTGTTTGTCAAAGTTAACAGAGTGATCGCTTTAAGTAATGTAATTATTCAACATCTCAAAGCGAAATTTCAAAGCAACATATTCTGATGTCAAATAAGCATCTTTGGAGTCAGACTGTGAAATTTGTGTATTTGAAATACTATCTATTTCTGTACTCTTGAATGTCCTGTGTATGCCTTTCTCCTCCCAGATGAGTACCTCTACTCTGGAACTGCCTCTGATTTCCTTGGCAAAGACACTGCATTCACTCGGTCCCTAGGGCCCACTCACGACCACCATTACATCAGAACGGATATCTCAGAGCACTACTGGCTCAATGGTTAGTGATGTTGTCACTTTTGATACTTTTGCATTTGGAGAGATTAGAAGCTCATTATTATTCATTTGGAAGTGTTTTGAAATAGTTGATTTAGCATAGCCTAATAAAATATACTTGAAAGTATTCCATATCAAGTCAGAACAATCTCCATCAGCTTTTGCATGTGATAATAGCTGATATTGATGGAACTTTATCTTTGGCATTATTCTTTCACAGATACTTTTGTTATGTACAGTGATATGTGAGATATATTACATTTATGATTTTTGAAGAATGAGCAAATTACAGGTGAAGAAAGATGAGTAATTGGTCAAGTTTCCAAAACTTGTAAGTCACAGAACTGGGATTACAGAGATGGCAACCTGAACTCCTCTAGTCCCAATTGTAATGACTTAATTATGCACCTCCTATTAACACAAAGGAAAGGGGTTTAACTGTAATGTTAACTTGGTTTTAGTAGACTTATGCTTTTAATTCTGACAAAACAATTACACAATTTTTCCTTTTAACTCCTACATATCTGTACATATTTGAAGATATAGTGTAAATTTTTAGCATGTGTATATAAAATGCTTTGATCAAATCAGAATAGTTATCCTTTTTTCCAATATAACTATAATTTCTGTTGCTAAAAATTAATGATGTGTTAAGATATTTTAAGCAATATATTTACATGCATTTGTCTCATGATGATTGTAAGTGAGTTAACCATTTTATTGCATCATATCATATTGTAAGTTAAGAAAGAAGAGGAAATCAAAGAACTCCCTATGAATGTATTTAATTAATCGAAGGGATAATACAAGACCATGCTATATGCCACTGCCTCATAACAGACCAATATTTATCATGATTTTCTAGTGTTTTCTACTTAAGATAAGGCTTTGTTCCATTGCAAGACAGAATAACAGAAAACCCTGGTTTAAGCAGGCAGACCACATTTACCATTCCCACCATAAATATAGGATTTTAGTGGAGGAGGGCAAGGTAGAAATTTCCTGGAGTTTATCTTTGTTATCTCTTGGTGTCATTTAAACAGTGACAACATAAACAGAAAGGGAAGCATTTTAAACCTTTCTTGATTCAGAATAACCAGATCTATTTGTTTACACAACAATGTGGTCTCCAGAATGACAATTCTACAGAAACTTTAGTATCTGTTTAAATCAAAAGATATGCTTATGGTTTAAAATGAAGGATAAGATTCTGCCTCTTATTTTAGGAATGGCCTTTACTACCACACAGCTACTCCTCATTTAAGATATTATTTTCTTAAATTATTTCACTTTTATATGTCCATAAAGAGATCCACATTGTTGTTAAAACAATAAATGGAGAAAATTTGCATGCAACAATTATTTGTCTAAGATGCTCTTATTATTACTGTGTGAATAGAATCAGAAGTAGGGAGCTTTCAAATTGGTTTAACTCCCTAAGACACAATTTATGAGGCCTTTTCACCTATTGAGTACTACTAGTCTATGCACAGGACCTGCACAGAGAGACAGGGGAGCCAATGATTAATGTGCTCATCAGCCTAGAGAGTGAGGAGAGTGAGAGAAGAGGCTATCAAGCTGTAAATATTATTGTAAAACCTAGCAGAGCCACTGATGGCTTACTTTTTAATCAGGAAATCTGACCTTTGTTATTTTAAAGGTAATTGGTAATACCATGAAATGAAGACTAAAAGGAGAATGAGGATGAGGAGAAAGGTAGTGGGACTGTTAGAAACATGAGAAAGAACAGTAAAGGATATTTGAGAGAGAGGATATTTGTGAATGAAAGAGTCCACGGGAAAAGGGCAGAGTTCACGATGCCAGAAGAAAATAAAAGTTTGAAGGAAGAAGTGGCATCTGGTACAAGTTTGAGAGAAACTAAATTCAGGTGAGTGATTAAGAGTTAGGAGAATTAACATTCCTGGTTCTGAATTATTCAAGACCATGTGCTTAGTGGTGAAGAGCCTGTGATCACAAGAACAGGTTTCTTAGGAAACATCTAGCTTACTGCTATCCTTGAACGCTCAAAATGCCCCAGTTCAATGAAAACTGTAGTTGATTCTTTGGAATTTGCTTTAAATCCTTACCATCACTTATGGGTGACCTTGGTTAAAACTTTCTGAGGTTCACTTTGTCTATATGCATGGTTTCTAGTAATTGCATCTGTGCTATTACTTAATTATTACATAATTCTTACATTAACTCTTATAGGGAAGCCTGTTAGGCAACAATTTTAAGTGCTAATTTGTATTATATTTCTATGATTATTATCTTATTTCTGAAGGTAGGAGAGCTGGGAGATAAAATTCAAACCCTGAATCTTCTGTTGTTTTGTTGTTGTTGTTTTTTGACATTATTTGAACATTTTGGTATTTTGAAAACTTTTATTTCTCCTTCTTTACTTAAGAAGGACTACATCCTTCCTAATGTTTTCAATTGTTATCTACGTTCCTGTGTTCCCTAAAACTATCATTCCAGCCATCTGTAAATGGCCTTATAAACGTTTGGGCTGGATGGGAGAACTCTATAATCACAGCTCCTTGGGAAACAGAAGCAAGGGCATCCATATGTCTGGCATCCATATGGTTGGCAAAGTATTTGTTTAGCATGAGCCACGTGGTCCTGGGTTCAATTTACTGTATCAAAGAACAAAAATACAAAAGCAAAACAAAACCAACAAAACAAAGTAGAGGGATAAGGGAGAAAAGAGAGAGAGAGAAAGAGGAAGGGCTAATTCTGATGGAGTACATATCTCAGATTCAAGAAGAATGATTGTTTGATATAAAAATAAAAATATTAAAACTTTAGTGGAGCCAGCGCCGGTGGCTCATGCTTGTAATCCTAGCTACTCAGGAGGCAGAGATCTGGGGATCACTGTTCAAAGCCAGCCCCAGCAGGAAAGTCTAATTAACCACTATAAAACTGGGAGTTGCACTGTGGCTCAAGTGGCCAAGCACTCACCTCCAGCTGGAGAGTGAAAGGACCAGGTCCTAGGTCCATTCAAGCCCCATGACCAAAACTTTACTTGGATTGATCTCCTACGTTGGTTTTTAAAATGATTTTACCTTAACTGGAACTAAAAACAATGTGTTCCATTTAAAATCTTGTTTTACTTAGCTTACATTCCCTTCAATACAGTTTTCCTATTTGGGGGTCAGTGGTTGCTTTGTTAGTTTGATGGTACTGGGGCTTGATTTGAAATACATACTCAGCTGGTACTTTATCACTTGAGACAAACAACCCTGCTTATTTTGCCTTTTTTTTTCTTTTTTTAAGAGCTGAAATCTTATAGCCAATTCTGCCTGAGCTAGCTTCAAACCATCATCTCAGCCTCCTGTATAGCTAGAAGTACAGGGTAGAGACAACACCACCAGAGATGTTCCCTGATTTGTAGCCTTTCATTTCTGTCACCCAAAACTTCTTGACTTCACCCACCCATTTACCCTGGGGTATATATGATTCTTTCTTTCATCTGTTTTATCTTCTTTATCTAAATCTACCACCAAGTGTCTACTTCCTTCAAAATACCTACTGATCTTGCTGTTTTCATGGTCCCAACCTTCTTAGAGGACCTTAGTACCTTGTTCCTGGGATGTTGTTCTAAATTCATTGCTTACACACTGATCTCCCTATATCTTATTTCTCTCTCCCTTCGTGATTTAATTCTATATGACACCTGTATTAAGCAAGGTCTCAGCTACATTGAGAGTGCTGTTTTGTTTGCAATTATAATCTTGAAAACATCACTAATGGTGCTTCACACTGGAAATATATTAGAAGAAAGTAGTTCATGTTAAATAGCTAGGTAAGCATGTTCAGCTTTGGACCTTGCATTCTGGTCCAGACATAGAGTTGAGCAAACCAGATTCTGCTGCTTTGACTGCATATCCATCTCCTGCTCTTGCAGCCTTGCTACAAACAAGGTCCATAATCATTTGACCTACAGCAAACCTTGACTTTGGGTCTGGCACCAAAGTCTAGAACAGAAAGAGAGCAGTGGAAAGGACTTAGGCATTCTGGTCACTTGTAGAAGTGTGTCAAGCAAGTCAGATGTTTCTTGGGAAGAGCAGAGGAAGAAAAGGAATGATTGACACTACATAAGATTCTTATAATGAGGAGAAACCTGATGGACTAAGTCAAAATACTAGCTTTCTCCGGGAGACTTTCTGTCTTCCTTTTTTGAGAAACCGTTATTTTCTACATAGCCCATGGTCCACTGGGCTCATCTGGCTAGCATTACAGGTATGAGGAGAAAGAATACAGATGAGTTTTGCTGATTTGGGGGAATGAATGCTAGCTTAGAAATTATATTTCATAACCATATTTTACCAGTAGAGATGAAGCATGAAGTCAGGATGTGCCCTGGTGTCCAAACTGACATGCCCAGCCTGTCTATGTTGATGCCAGGCTTCTGAGAAGAGATAGTGATCCATCTCCTGCGCCTGGAAGGTGGACTGCCTCTTTTTAGCCATTTTGAGAATAAAAGTCTTCACTGCCTTAATTCTGCTCCAGTCATAATGCAGTTATGGACACAGGCCTCTTGAATTAAGACTGCCCTGGCCATTATGCTACACACTGTCCATGCATAGCTATTTAAATTTAAAATTAAAAAAAAACTAAATTGGACTGAGGAAGTAGACTTTTTTTAGATTTTCATTTTAACATATGGTGGCAGCGTTAATTTGAAGTTGGTGTATAAGTGCTCTGTTGTCTGTTAATTTTCCCACATGAAAGGAGATTAGTTTACAAATAGGAAACCTATTATAAGAAGAAATAAAAGGAAGTCAGAAGATCAGTATCTATTAAGTAGTGGGTAAGTGCACTCATGCAGATGAAGAAACTCTTGAAGAAATGAAAATGGTTTGTCTCGCAGGCGACATGGGTTTGCCATGTTTTTACTTGGCAGTGCCTCATGATGTCATGCTAGAAGTTCATTTGTACAAATGCATGATTTCAAATTCCACCCTTTGAGGACATGTGTTCCAATGCCAAGGACAGAATGGGACTGTGCTATAATAAAGCCCAGGTGTCTACTCATATGATTTTTAAATGGTTTAATTCAACCACTATGCAGTAATTTAACGATACCTATTTTTACTCATATTTGGCAACATGTCAGGAAGGACTTTCTATCATAAAACACTAACATCAGTGTTCTAAGACAGTACCTCAGTGTAATCTGCAAGAAAGAAACTATTCTTGAAAGTTGTGCTTATTTTTAGCTCCTAAGTATGCTTGTTATTTAAATCAGAGACTAGAGTACTATTTGATACTTTTTCCACAATTAAATTTCATCATATAATAAACATTTGGCTTAAACATCTCCACTTTTCCCTTCCTGAAAAATTTTCTTTTATTAGTGTCCAAAGAACCAACACTTAAGAGTTTAATAAAATCATCACAGATTGGATAAAACACAAACCATGTTTGATGTATATTACATACTTACATTACAGTTAAAAGAAATAGCACTGGGAAAACTATCTATATACTATTTTTCTCTGTTGAGACAATAATAAAATTCCTGAAATGGAGACTTGAGCATACTTACTTTTTGACCATTAAACACAATGCTATGTATTAATAATATACAGTCAATGATGTTCACTTTCTATGAATTTCTGAAGTATGTACAAAAGCTACCTGATTTTCTTGTACTTCATTGAGACTTTGCTCTATTTTTGAATCCTATTTTCTTTTTCAAAAGGTGTAAAAAATGATCTCATGAAATTAATTTTTTCTAAGTGTGTAAAGACTGCTTTTATAAGGGAGTCTTCATTCACATTGTTGTTCCTGTTATTTGGGACATTTTTCTGCTTTAAATCATTGACTGCCCATTTTCTTCAGAGGGAAGGTTGTGTAAATCTTTCACTACTATACAAATACATCACAATTTAATTTTTTCATTGTAAATTTATTTCTGTTACTGTATATATCAAATAGGAAATTAGTATTACAAGTCATCATGCTGTGTTATGTAAACTCTACTGAAATTATATTTAAGTGTTGCAATTCTGTTTATGGTAGTGAACAATTTAAACTCAATTATTTGTCAAAATAAGGGGATCCAATTACATTATTATAATTTCAGAATGTGTTTTTAGACTTTTTAATCCCATTACAGTTACTTAAGAATTTATTTTTATGATTTAGCCTTACTTGCCCTGTCCATTCAGAATCTGAATTATGAATTGTGGGTCAAAGAGTCTTAACTGCAGATTTTTCTCTGTGTATGGAATGGTATTCTACTTTAGTGACTATTAAGTTTGGATTTTTAGAAGATTCACTTACAGGTTAGTTCTTTAAATTTTGTACTTATAATTATTATAAATACAGTAAAGATTTTCACCCAGTTTGGTGGAACTGGATTTAGTATGTGTACATTGAGAACACTGTATGAATTATTTTCCATATCTGGTCATGTACCTGTGGATATTCCTTTGGTTGTCCTTTGCTTCTTTGATTGTTCTCATCTCTTTTGGAGGTATTGTGAATATCAAGGTTAAGTTTTTCTCCTTAGCCATCTCCTGTTTTATGTTAAGTGTTTATTAATTCCAATGAAAGTTGAAGAGTCAGTTATTCATTTAAAAATACTTGATCCTATTAGATCTTCCATATATTAACAATCAAAAAGATCCCCTTTTAATTAACTTGTTGAAATATCAAATACATATTTATAGAAAAAACTTTATGTACAATGTTCTTAATTGTTAAAACCTTATAAATGTGCATTTGCAGATGAAAAAGATGGTATTATTTTGCTCAGGGGTTAAAACCAAATGTTTAGTTTTTATCAACAACCTGAAAGAGGGTTTAGAGAGGGAGAAACAAAACACACACAAGCAAACCAAAAACAACAAAAAATCAAGTGAAAGTTCAAAAAGGCTTGACAATGTAAAATTAATTAAAAGATGAAAAACTGAAAGGTCCTTAATGTTTTTTTTTTAAATCAATGTCATATATTTTTCTAGGTCCATACCAAAGTGAGAAATGTTTCAATGAAGTTTTGAGTTCCAGCAAAGATTGAGGAAACACTAAAAAAACACAAAAGAAGTTAACACAGAAATTCCCATGTCCTTTCTCTTAAGATTTTTCATGGAAGTAGGGAAGAGATTGGAGACCCAGGAGGGAGCGGGATTATCATGGGTGAAATTCATGACACTTGAAACCCAATATTAACTTTTGTACATTGAAAATAGCTATTGTGAAACTTTTCTAATAGTTGGCCTTTTGATCAGTTGCTATGCATTTATATGCAAGGATATAACTTTCACTTCTCCTAGGAATAAGTCAATCAAGAGTTCTAAGTAAAACCTTAGAAGGCATTGTTCATCTTTTTTTATTTACCTTTCTAGGTTTTGATTTTTGTCTTTTTTGTTTTTATTTCTCTTTCTTAAACAGTTAATCTTCTATGCTTCCTTCAAAATATGCCATATATTTTACGTAACTGAAGTCCTTACCTCAATTCTTAAGTCTTTTTATTTGGGTTATTTGCTCTTAGTCAAATGATTATTTCTGGACCAATATTGATATAAAACCATATTGAGTGACTCCATACTACATATTGGAAATGGCCCAAGCACTATTACTGTTTTTCATTTGTATTCCATTGGGCAATCTAATAAATTACAGCAAAGAACAGCATAGAGGAGCTCTTTTGAATATAAGTATAGTTTGAGATATATGTACAGTTATTGCTAGGTTCTTTTATAAAAGATATCATGGTTATATAGCAGTAACTGCATCATAAGTAAGGTGAATAGATAGAAAATCATTGACTTGCCAGATGTGATAAGACTTCCTATAATATTTAAATAGCATTTGACACTCATATGATGACCTTAACATAATGTTCACCTAGCATTTCTGTCAGCAAAGGACCACATATAGTGGGTTCCCATACTACTATTTATGGTCATAGCCATCCTACTTGATATAATTACATTCTGTAATGTTTTCCAATAATGATAAAATCACCTATCAATGCATTTCTCAGAATGTATCCTTTTATGTTATGTGACCTGTGACTGGTTTAGTGGAATTGTAACAATTGGGAGTGTTAGCCAGACCTGTTCTCACCTGCTCTCTGGAATTCCTGAGAACTTGTTTTGAACCTCTTTCTGCTGTGCTGCTTTTCTACGTGGTCACAAGATTGTCTGCACATCTTGTTTCCTACATTAGACTGGTGGTTTATGTTTCTAATTTTTTAATAGTTTTACATCCTAAATTCACTAGTACTATTGCAATTGGATGTTTTTTTTATTAATTTATAGCTTTTATTTTTCAAACAGGAGCAAAATTTATTGGAACTTTCCCTATACCAGATACCTATAATCCAGATGATGACAAAATATATTTCTTCTTTCGTGAATCATATCAAGAAGGCAGTACTTCTGATAAGACGATCCTTTCTCGAGTTGGAAGAGTTTGTAAGGCAAGATACATTTATTTATTTTATTTCAGGTATATGTATATATTCAGGAATTGATTAACCATTCAATGTTGAAATGAAAGTTAATACCCATTATACCCTAAAAGTTTAGAATTGATTTATACTCTCATATAGGTGTAACCTCTGAGAAATGAAAATATTTATTTTTCTTGAAAAAAGAGGAGGATTTGCATTTCTCAAAGATTGTAGTTTGTTTTACAGCACCTGAACTGCTACCCTGGAATGACTTATACCATGTTGGCAGAGAATATATTGTCATTTGAGGGTTGTCTTCTGTCCATTCTTGCCTGTAATTACTTCTTCTCATCACCATCACCATGTTGTCCTTGTCTGTGGAGGTTAGAATATTTTCATACAATGACAAATAATCTTTTCTTAACATTAAGAATAACTTGAAGGCCTGTCTGCATCTTCTGTCTCATTTGAAATGGTCTGAAGCTGAAAACTCTCGTGACTGGGTTGAGGCAGCAAAGTGAGAAGCATGTCCGCGAAAACGCATTACTAACACCTGTTACGCCGGGGTTTGGGGAAAGCTCAGGTTCATCTCCATATTTTAGAATAGTAAACATCATGCATCATAATCACCCAGAACAACAGTTCCAATGATTAAAGGTTAGTAGAGAATATGACTGTATGCATTCCTCCAGCTCAAAAGGATAGACAGCAGATTCAAACTGCCGTTTTTGAGTGTGACTCTCATTTCCAGCCTGTGGACCAGGAAATGCTTCTCTCTTTGTATTCTATGTCTTCCTGTTTCATCCTGTTATACTTAAACCATTCCTCGCTAAAACTTGAAAACAATTATTGAATGCAACTTAATATAAATATTGGAGTGACTTAAAAACAAATTTATTCTGTATTTTAAGTCATACATCTATCTAAACATTATATACTGATCAATGTATAACAATCATTATATTTTAGTGTATATTTAAATTCTTGACAATTAAGACCATGATTTAGTTCTGAGAAAAAAATACAGGTTGAAACAAATAGACAAAACCACAAAGCACTTATTTGAAGGGGATTGCAATTAATCTTCAGTACTGCCCTTTACTATAAATCATATATGAAACCATCAAACTTTATGAAATACATTTTGTGCCATCCCAAGTTTCATTTGATTGGCTACAACTTTACAGAATAATAATGCTACTGGAACATGCTTTAGATTTCAGTATATTATTTTTGGCCTGGATTTTTCTCTATTGAACTAACATTTCTTACACAGACAGACATCTTCAGCACAAACTCAGCTGTTAAAGACAAGCACTGTTGAGTTAATAAATACTCTCTGTTGGAAGCTTTCTTTGGTCTTATACAAACTTTTCATTTTCTTCCATCTTCTGTCACTTTTTGTTTCAGCCTGTGCCCTCAGGCTTCTGAACACTTCCCGGGATAGAAATATGCACCATTATTGCAGTTAAAGTGCTAATGAAAACATGGCTTTTGAAAGAGGCCAACCGTGAGCCCAGATCATTCTTTATCTGGTGTCCAAGGCAATAATTCTGTCTCCCACCTATCCCTGCCCCACAACAGATTCTCTAAAAAGCATCCTCATTCTTTCTAAGCATCTACAGTAATTTCTCTTGAAGCCTCTTGCTTTGGGATGAATGGGCTTTGCTTGGATTAGTCTTTGTGTGTTAGTGTATTGAGGTATGCCTTACATCAACACTATTTGACCCTAAAAAAGCATTCCCGTGCATTTACATGTGTGTATAAATGAGCTAAGTTAAATATGTCAAAAAAAGATTGACATTCAATTAAATGCATTTCATGACTCACTTTCTGATGAAGATATTTAACAAGGGCATTGCTTATGAATCATTTCAGTGTTTATGTTTTCATAGATCTAAAATATTTGATAAAAGTTTATTTATAACGAAGTAATATTTTTATCTCTGTGTAATAGTAAAAGGTAAGGAATTATGTTAAAATGCTTTTAGCCTATTAAATGTACATATTAAAAGTATAATGTTGACCCTAAATATCAGCATTGAATCTTTTGAACAGACTCCTACAAAATAGAAATAGCAAAAAAAAAAAAAAAGTAGTAAATGAATCTTCCCATCTCAAAAACTCCTAGACCACATATCAAGATTTTGTCATACTCTTAATCTGTGTTAACAGCTAAGAAATTATGAGATAAAGTGAAGACATGATGGATTAATTTATTGTAAAATTAAAAGGCATTCTTCATTGACTAATAGATCTCTTCATTTAATTATTTTCATTGAGTATTATCTTGAGAACTACTCCTGGTACAAATGATCCATTGATCAAATGCTTCATATTCTTGGTTCTAAATGCTGTCTTTGCAACTTAATTACAAAATCATTTCTCTCCATGTTTCTGAATTTTCCCTAGAAATTTAGAATTAAATTGTGACAAAAATTGAGTATTCTCAGGTGGATATTTCATTGAAATTAGTAAAAATAATTATTTGGAATCTTTAAAAAGTTATGCCTTATAAAACAATAACAACTTTAATAATCATTTTAAAATTCAATGTAACTTTTGTTACATGATTATTTTCACATATAAAAATTCTTTTGAAATTATTTGGAACATATCAGTTCATTTTTTTATTATCTCCTGTATGTCACCATAAAATATTGTTTGCTTTTCATTTTTTACAAATATTTATAGGAATAAAATTGAGTTTGATAATTAACAACAACAATGACAAAAGACTCACCAAGGAACATGCCATGTTAGAGAAAATGAAAAGCTGTCTATACCTTACTTAGTCTAGCAAAAAGCAGGAATGGGTGCATGGTTCAAATGATAGAACATGGTCTTGATCAAAAAAATCAAGCAAGAGTATGAGGTCTTAAGTTCAAACTCTGGTAATGTCAATTCAATAAATGAACAAATGAACAGATATTAGCAGTAAGGCTATCAATGTCATTTGCTCGCATGATGCATTCTATTTTAATTAAGATGTGAGCTGTAATCTTGCTTTATTTCTTGCTGTCTTAGTATCCTATGCTAGAAAATGTGAATAACCTTCTCTTGGGTGACTATTTTACCAAGTAGATATATGACTTGGTAAAGCTTATGAATTCAGATATGACAGATACTCAACAAAACACTGAAAACAATACTGATTTAGGTAGATTTCTTTTTAATGCAGGTACATTTATTATAGGAGATTTAAGTATAGAGAATGCAAACACTTGGTTAACCTATAGTGGATTAAATGTCAAAGATCACAAACATGCCTCCCTGACACATCTACTTTGGAACCAGGCCAATTTAACTTCAGGAAATAATGGTGTTGGTCACAGTGATTGTAATATTTAGGGAATAGTGACATATTAGTTACTAAAAGTTATTGTAAAGAAAAATCATCTATCAGGTGGGAATTACTATTTTTTTATTTTTCTTTTAATTTAGTGTTGAATTTGATCAATGAAAATATTTTTCAAGAGATACAGATATGGAGAGACATCATAAAATGAAAAATTAATTCACAAATTAATTCTACATGGCAATTTTAGTCAATGATATCTTGTGGAGGATACATGTCTTCATCTGAAGATTCACCTGAGATGAAACTCCATAATTTATCATTGTACTTAGTTAGAACAACTTCTTCATAGATTACCCTTCAGCTAAGGTCAGAACTTTGTAGTCAAACTAGTCATCTTTTTATATTTAAAACATGAAGCTTAGCCTTGGTTGATTTTGAAGTCCTTATTAAAACCCCAAGCCATTTGATCCTGTTGAGTTATCAGTGTACCTAAGCACTACATGGTACAACTTAAACATTGGAGAAATTCTCTTGTGGACGATAAACTACCCAGATCTTTGTGTTAAGGTTTTAAAATTCTGACTGAAGAGACTAATGGAATGAAATAAATTATTTTGTGTACTTTTACTTTGAATTTACCAGTGTTTATATCTGTGTGATGTTTTAATGTGTGTGTGTGTGTGTGTGTGTGTGTGTGTGTTTGCCTCAGATAAATGTGTGGAAACACCAGTCCTTTCAGCAAGGCTTGCTTGCAATGTCCTACCTAAAGGCTGTTTTGCATTACTTTGGGATTCTATTCATTTTTGGAAGCATTGTCCATTAGCTTACTTAGGCTAGCTCACTCCAGATTCCAGCTGCAGGTTATGCCAGTTCTCTCTCTCTTTTTTTTTCTTCAGTATTTCCTTTTGTCCATGCCAGGAATTCAATTTGGATAGTCCTTTCACATAACTTGCCTGGGGGGTCTCATTAATAGCTTTTTTTTCCCCTTCAATTCCACTTGGGTTGTCTATTTTGTTATACAGTTCTATTGGATAATGACTGCCTTTGAAGAGTTGTGTTTTTAGGCCGTTGACACTTTCTGTATTTATTGATCTCCGAGCTGTGGGTTTTCTGCTTACTTTTAGCATGTCACTTACAACCTAAATGAGAGATTTAGTGCCACGAGTTACAGATGTGCTTTTCCCTCACTTCCATCTGTTTTCCTGTCTAAGAAATTCTTAGGAAGGGATGTATTTTGTTTGCTGTAGCTTTAAAACTAAAATAAAAGAAAATAAATGTTGATCCTATCTGAAAGAAGACTGTTAAACACACGTGGACTTACCTAATTTAGTTTACTATAATTTAGAAAACAAGATTGTTAGTATAGTATTTACTCAAGTTATGCATTGCTAATAATCTTCCAGAGTTTTTGAAGTATCTAGGAAAGAAAACATGTGCTCCACTTCTCTTTGCTTCATCAGGCTCCAGTGGCAAATCACAAACAGTTGTCTCTAAATAATAGAATATTACTTTAAGAAAAAAAATCCCTTGGAATTGTCTACAAAGTCAATTCAATAGAATCTACTATGTTCAATACTTGCCATAAAGTTGGCTTGTTCACTTTTTTTCCATCCTTTGTCTCAAATATTTATACTTACATATTTTTGTTTCTTCTACTAGCAAAGTATTATTAGCAGGTGAAATAAAGGACCCTAATTTATAGCTGCCCTACTGTCTGAAATACATT